AGTGGTTCACTTTCTTTCAAATCACGTCTCAAATAATCTCAGTTCTTTTATTAATAAAAAATAATAATAACAAAAATGTAAAGCAAACACAAACAAACACATGATTTTAAAAATGAATTTTCATTCAAGGAAGAATTACAAATTGTTTCAATGTTTTACAAAACTTAAAAAAAAAAAAAAAAACAAAAGTTCTCTACTGGAGAGGTGACTGCATTGGCTCCTACTCAGCTGGAGGAGGTGGCTGTGTTGGCTGCTGCTCGTCTGGCAGAAGAGGCTGATCATCGTCAGAAGGAACTGGATGAATCTCTACTTCTGGACCTGGTTGGTTTTCATCCACTTCAGCTCCCTCCACTCTTGCCTCCATCTCATCTTCCTCTACCTCTGCCCCTTCTTCCTCCACTGCCACGAACTCGAAGTTGAACTGTGGAGGGAAAACAGCATGCCCGTTTGCATCATCCTCCCACCTCAGTTTGATCTGAGGACGGAAGTCTACTAACATGCTTTCACCATCTTCCTCCACCCCTTCTTCTTACTCTCCGAAGGTGATCTTCGTAATATCCACTTCAGGATATTCTGCCTTCACCTTCTTCCTGCAGTCCGTTATGGCAGTCGATAGTTGGTATAAGTTGACGATGTTGTCAAACGAGCTGGAGCTGATGAAGTTGCTAATGTGCTCCTTCATCCCATTGTGCACCAATGTCTGCACATTCCCCTTCAGCTCCAAGAAAGCCTCCTTCGTTAGCTTTAGTTCTTGCGCCTGAGCCTCACGCTCGCTTTCAGAGATCTTTTGTTTGCTCTCTTCAAAGCCGAGCTTGGTGCTCAGGGAAGCTCTCTCCTGCTCCAACTGCTTCAAAGTTGGAACCACCTCGTCCAACGACTCTTGCAGATCTATATTTTTCTTCTCCAGCTCCTCCTTCTCCTTCTGCAGCTGGTCACACTGCCTCTGCAAGAGTGCGCGCTCCTTTATACTCTCCCTAAACTCATGGGCTAGACCATTCACCGAGCTCGCGCTCTGCAAATCAAAGTAGAAGTTCAAAGGGAAAGAAGAGAAGAAGAAACAGAATAAATAAACAGCAACACTAATTTAACGTACCTCAAGAACATGCTTCACAACAGATGCTCCCCTGTACCTCAGAGCTTCCTCCCGCGCGTGGCGCTTGTCCACTTCGGGGAAAGTGCTGTTGATGAACCACCTAGCCCCCATTACGTTATTTCCCTCGAACAGGCTGCTCTGAGGCACCACTGGGGAAACAGGGCCCTTTCCCTTACCAGGAGTCCGTACCTCAGCCCCCTCCTCCAACCGTCTGAGCTCAATGTTCAGCTCAACAGGAGGAGGCTGAGGTACGAACTCAGGAACCCCATTCCCCTCTTCCTCCTCCACCACTTTTTGCTTCTTCTGCAGTGCCCTCCTCTCCTCCCAACCCTTCCTTTTCAACGCTGGCACCTCCTCCTCCGTCTCAGCTGAAGCCACGGGCACTACTTC